TCTGCATCCTAACAAACCAGTCTTCTTAGTCTGAATCATGCCCTAAAACTCCCAGATTTCATAATTGACATCATCCTGTTCAGTCATGTAATCCTTTGTTTCAGCTTCCTGTCTTATTAACCTACCCGTCTATTGTCAGAGGCCGTAGGTGAAAAGGCCTTCACATAGGCTCTTACTGTATATCCTCTCAGCCACTGGATTTAAAACCATTGGCCTGTTTTAAATCCAGCTGCAGATTTAAAACATACAAAATGTAAACAGCAGCAATAAGAAACATAATAAAACATAACAATAAAGTATAATTAACTGAGTTTTTCTATAAGAAAAGTTACAGATATTTAGCATAATCTTCTGTCTGATTATTATAAATATTTGGTAAAACCAACATCAAATCTAACTTTTTTGGGGGAAATATTTCAGTTACATTAAAGAAAATATTTACTTCTATCCAAGCTGTATGTTTACATCCATCTGTGGCATTAATTTATTAATAGATTTGGGGACTTTTTATACACTCTTTGGTTTAAACTTAAACTCACTTATAACCCGAGTTCCTGTTTAATGCCACATTTTGGAAATCAAAATGTTTGAAATTTGTTCTGGACGTGACTTTGAAGTTAATGCTTTCAATGTAGCTGAGGTCTGGGCAGGTGTTCTGTCAGAACATTTAGATACTGATACATTTTTCTAATAGCATACGCAACAGAGAATTAGTCCAACCAGCAAAAACAAAACAAAAAAGAAAATCAGCTTTGATTATTCTGTTATGTCTTGCATGCAGAAACAGGCAGACATGATGGAAGTTTCTGTGATGTTGAAAGAAGAAGTCTCTTTATTAAAAAAAAAACTACATTAATCAATATTAATTCAAAATAAATTACTTTAGTAGTAAAAAAAATGTGTGCAGGAATTTAATTTTTGTTACATTTTGTTTCTTGTTTAAAATCATTGAAAACATTGGCTGCACTTTATATTGTGAATGAGAATTAATTTAGGTTATATAAAAACTAAACATATGCCTATCTTTGTTTCCAGAACCACTTGTGCATTTGGGACCATTGTCCTGCATCAATAGAGTTATGCTCAGTCAAGCCTATGTGTAGTTAATTCCTGCATAAATGTCAAATAGTGAAACAAAAAAATAGCTTTAAAACCATTTAGCATCTATGTTTCGGTATGACTAAAATCTGAGTTAAATGTAAAGTAAATGAAGAACCAGGATGTGTGATATTGGAGGGTAATGTTGCCCAGGAAGAATCAGACAGTTTAGTGCAAACAGATTTTTATTGACCTTTTTTCCTAAGATCAGCAAAAAGTACAAAGGTGATAACAAAGAAAAACAAAACAGGTACATCCAATCAGAAAGTGTTCCTGTTAGAGGTTCACCTATCCTGTTTGAACACAGAATACAGATTCCTAAAGTCTTTAAGGTGGAACGATGAAGCCACCAGACAGGAAACAAGTCAAAGCTTCAACAAACTGTCCCTTTCCTTCAGCCTCAAAGAGACAAAAGAAAAACCAGAAGGAAAGTTTACATAAGTATTTTCTACTCTTGTTAAAGTTACAGGGAATCCTTCATGTTCCTGTTCCTACTTTAATGCTTCACTGAAGCTACACTGTAAATACACAAACTTAACAGCTGAACAAAGGAACATTTCTAACATTTTCTAACATTTCTCTTAGTCTGATCCAGCAAGGATATAATTTGACATAAAATGACAAATGATGCTGCACAAAAAAAACTAAAACATCAGTATATAGTTCATATTATACAATACTTGAATAGAACAGAAAAAATCATCCTTTATTATTCTCAGAAGTCTTTATAATAGTTCTTATGCTAATGAAAGGATTAAATGAGGGAGAAATATCCCAGAATTCTTTTAGGGTTTGGTTGAAGATGTCGACGCTCACATGCGGCTATGAATGGTGTCTTCCTCCACCTGGAGGCGTGTCTTATTGGCCAGGGCAGCCTTGCGCGTCATGGTGCTGCAGCGGGTCAGGATCTCCTGGGTCTTTGGTCTAGGTGGCACCTTTGGAGCCACTGAAGCCGTCTCGCTACCTGTGGACTGAGTGGATCCAGAGCTTGGGGAGCTGGACCTGGAGGGGGATTCGGTCTGAGGTGAGTCGGGTTCGCTGGTGTGGTCCTGTCCCTCTTCCCGCTCCTCGCTGCTGGAGGAGAAGCTGGAGAAGATGGAGTCGGTGCTGTGGGACGTCGGGGTGTCCTGTTCAGTCTGGCTGTGCAGCCAGGTCTCGGAGAGGACATCCAGGGATTGGGCCCTGGGGAGACGTTCAGGGACCGCAGACTGCCGCCTGGAGCCCTGATCTGATCTGCTCTCTTCATTGATTCTCTCAGACTGAGAAGGACGAGACTCCCTTGTCGTTGCCAAGTTCAGCGAGGAACTGTGATGATGTCTGTGCGAGCCATGCAGACCGGCCCGTGGATTGGTGTAAGGCTGAAGGTACATGGAAGGTATATAACCGACCTTCCCGTTGAACCTGAGAAGATGGAACCAGGGTTATAAATTTACTCTCGTCAACTCTACAACTACCTTATGCCAGAAGGCGATGGGTTTTTATCTGCATACAGGTAAGACAAAAGGTTGATACCTGATGAGCCACCAGCCGTCATCAGACTTCCTCAACACCTCCACCACAGAGCCGATGAACACAGCAACTTCATCAGCCTTTGAGGTTGAGTAGGTCCTCACAGCACAGTACAGGGAACCTAAAAGCGACAGGCAGAAGATCTTTACATTGCAGTTAAAGTACTACTAAAAAGGGTAAAGTTAAAAGTAAATGAAGAGGAGTTTTTCTAACAAATTTAAGACTAAAGTTACTAAATAGAATAACCCACCTCCTAGGAATTCTTCATCATCATCATCTTCTCCTTCAGAAAGCTCCAGGAAGGGAGCAGGAAACCAAGCCAGGCGCTTGTCCTCGCTCTCCACCAGCCACCAGCCTGTAGAGCAAAGAGCAGAGGACGGCTTTTAGCATTTCTCACTAAATGTTGCCATGATTTGCATTTTGTGTGTTTTCAGTGAGAAACGGTTTAAAGGGGAAAGCGCCAGTGCTTACCTGCAGGGTCTTTGATCAGGACGTCCAGCTTCTCGTCCGCAGCCACCTTAAACGGGCGGTTCTTTGTATCCTTGGTCTCGTAGGGAGCCACGCAGCGGTATGTCTGGGTGACAAACGGATGGGTGACGTTGCCCAGCTGGTGGCGGGGAGCGCCCTCTCCTCCTCTTCCATCCTGCACATCACCAGACATCAGGATCATGACGCTGTCAAAGATGCAAAAAAGCAGATAAATGTTAGAAAAAGCCACAAATGCAGAGACTGTTCAGAGAAATCCCATCTGGATCTGAGAACTTACGTGTTTTTGGTGAAGTCAGTCTGCAGGTCGTGGTCTTTAGGGGTGAAGAACCGGGTTACCTCTGGGCTCAGGGTCACAGTCTGGTCGCATTTCAGCAGCCGGTCGCAGTAGCTCTCCAAAAACATCATCTGCCTCACAGACTTCTTGGATCCTTTCTGCTTTAGACTGCTCCTCCTCGCTTTTCCTGGATAGAATCAGGACAATTTGATTTGGCATCATTTTAGCATCATTTGGCTCAATAACTTGTTTATTTCTTTGTTGATAGCCTTAATATATGAATATTTGTGTAACATATTGTACTGTGATATAATTTGAAATGTATAGTTGTTCTTATGATGTGATCATTTGATATGTTTTGTGTATCTGTATGATTTTAAAGGGACCCCAGAATAGCTGTCAAATACTGACAGCAAAAAAATAGACACATAAATAAACAAATATTTCTACATGTATTAGTAAAGAATTATGTGCATGTCTTAGTCTTGCAATATTCTTACAGCTCTACCTGTATGCATTTTGGTTTAATGATAATAATAATAAAAACTGATAACGTTTTTTAGATATTTATCTAGATTTGTTTTGGTCTTACCAGTGAATTTTGGGATCATCCGGTCATTCTTTCGGAAAGGATTGAAATTAGGAAACTTCCTCTTCAGTTGTCCCTATATGAAAAAATAAATAAACATTAAATAAACTCGTATTAGGAATGTTATCAACCAAGCAGCCTGTGGAGATCTGATGAAATATTACTGACTTACATGAAATTTCTTAAAATCCTGGAAGGACCTGTAGATGATCACCTCAGATTCATCAGACCAAAGGACAGACACCATGAAAGTCTGGAGGAAAACAAACCGTGAACATTAGAGGGGATGTTTTTAAATGAAGGGATGAGAAATAAAAAATAAACTCACCTTGAGTTTCGGCTTCTCCCGGTGGAGTCCTCCAACAATCCGGGCGCTGATCACGTAGCGCTGATTACCGGTCATCTTGCTCTCGTCTGGGGCTCAGATGGCTGCTTTGAGAGACCTTCTCTGCTGCTGCTGCTGCTGCTGCTGCTGATGTGATGATCATCCCTCCATAGCTGCTGGCTTTATATCCAGTAGAAAAGGCGGAGTCCTGATGCGGAGGAGAGAGGATGCCGAGGAGAGGCGGGGCGGCGCTGCGCAACAGCAGCTTGGAGACTTTCCAACATTAGGAACCATAAAACAGCTTCAACCGGGAAATAACTGCTCCACATGCAGGGCTATATAAAAATATATAAAAAGGGGAATGCAAAACAGATAATAAATAACTAAAAAAAATATATATATAGCCTATATATAGGGACTGTGTTGAATAAATAAAACTCCTAACTATAGAGTGTTATTTATGAGCAGCCTTGTTATCAGCTCTCCCTGCCTGTCAGGCAGCCTCTTCGTCATCCGCCTTTACAATTAACATCTCTGCAAGTTGCGTCACCTTGCACTTGTCATCTGAAGGCAATAAAAGCCTGCAGGATCAGAGCTGGGTTTGCACGTGCAGCACCTCAGGGGAGATACCTGGGGGGGTTTTAGCAGGTGTTTCTGCAAAAAGAGCCACATTCACTAAAGGGTTGCTCTCTTTAGAGGAATGTGAAGCCTCTGCTGTGAAGGGATGCCAGTATCTTATCAACAGACGTCAAACCAGCAGCACGTGCTGAGGCCCGAAGGTCAGGACCATCAAGCTTGGGGTTGGACTCAGCACCTGAGACTGGGGGACACGTGAGACCTCTAACAACTAACAGCCATGGGAAACCTTACCAAAGACCCCTGATAGCTATAAAGAAAAAAACTTTCTGGAGAACTCCCAAAAACTGTTTTCTCTGCCAATACAGATGGCAAGAAACTTCTAAATAAAGACTAACTATTCTTTCCTAAAACCTTTGCTGACAACTAGATGCAATGGCGTAACAATCGGTAAGCAGAGACTGCAGTCTCTTAGGGCCCCCCGACCTCTCAGGGGCCCCACTACGCAATTGTGGACTAGACAGATGTAATGGTGCGAAAAATTCCTCTTAAACCCACCAGATACTAGGTTAACTGAGCTGACCTTATTTACACTCCAACACATGGCAGATTTCAACAGGATGGTGAGCCGTTTAAACATGATACCAACAGCAAAGCAGACGGTGGTAATTTTAATTACTATGTTAATAACTGTGTATAGTTCATTAGACGGTTGGTAAAAAATACACTCATATACTATGTTTCAAACCTATGTTTCATATGGGGCCCACCCAGATAATGTTGCTTACGGGCCTATTGTTGTGCCGTTACGCCATTGGTTTGACTCAACACCTGAGACTGGGGACACGTGAGACCTCAAACAACTAACAGCCATGGAAAAGTTTACCAAATACCCCTGACATCTATAAGGAAAAAAAAAAAAAAAAAAACTTTCTGGAGAACTTCTAAAAACAGTTTTTCTCCGCCAATACATATGGAAAGGAATTACAGATCTCATATCAGGCTCAGGCCCCGTCCACACGAAGCCAAACCCTGGCCTAAACGCACAAATTTTTCACCAAACCAGGTCTCTCATCCATACGAAGCTGGCGTTTCGGGGGTCTGTAAACGATCTTGTTTTTATTAAGCCTTCAGAGTGGGAAGATTTTGAAACGCCGTTTTCACGTTTCCATCTTTAAGCTCAAACCGCATTTTTTTTCTTACACGCATGCGTCATAGCGTCGCCTCTAAACACGCATGCGCGACACAGTATCACAACAACAATGGCGCCGTACTGTGTTGAATGGTTGCTGCTCATGCTACTCACCCTGCTGTCGGGCTTACAACAGAATCTTCTTCTTCTGGAATATCTCCAGGAAGAACAGAGCAATATCGATGACATAGTTCAGCACCTCAATTTGACTGAACCACGAAAATGGTCCCGCAGGGCAACCATGTATAAATATTGGTGCGCATGCCCAACATTTCGTCGCCTATTTTTGCTTTGGCGCCACAGCGCCAATTACAGGCCTGGCATACATTTTGCAGCGTTTTCATGCATTCGTGTGGACGATCACATTTATTTTACGTCGCCGTCTTTACGACAAACGTTCTGGAAAATATTAGCGTTTCGTGTTCGTTTTGACTTTGTGTGGACGGGGCCTCAGACTGGGAACAATTTTCGGCCCTGGCATTTTTCCATCTACACGGGCCCACCATTTATGGACACCCCCGCACAGTCAAACGTGTGCGTCTAAAATCTGAAACACAATAAAAATACACACTGTGGATTAACCGATCTCTCTTCAAGCATCACACGACAACCATCACCAAGACTTCCATAATGCGGTTTAACTGGCTTTGGTTATTAACACGGATGCGTAACGTCCCGACTCATAAACCGCCTGGATATACCAAATATTGCCCAATTTGAACCAAAGTCTATGGGTCTCTTTGGCCATAAATCTAAAGAAAAAATGTATTTTATCCATAGAAGGCCATCCAAAACTGCCAGATTGGGAAACATCCCAACCTGGCAACAATGCACGTAAGACGGGAAATGTTAGCCTTTAGATGCACAACCCAATATTTTTGCAAAATATTCAAACATATATTCACCAAATATCAGAGGAAGAAGTTTGGTTTAAAGGAAGCATTTTAGTGTTGTTATAATTTAGCTTGTTTCAAGGATTTTACAGTTTGAAGAAATAGAAAATAACACCATATGCCCACCGTCACAAGGATGTGCATGAAGGGCTATATATACTGCATGCATCATTTAGGTAGTTCTTCTTGAGCCAGTTCGAGACTGGCTCATATGCAAGAAGAGATATGCATGATATATGCATGACTGGATGGATGGATGGAGCTTAATCCAGGTAAGCCTTGGAGGAAACCCTGTTAGCAGGGGTGGATTTATCATTAGGCAATACTAGGCAGTTGCCTAGGGGTCCAAATTCCTGGTGGCCCCATAAAAACTCTGTTTACATGTATGGTATGGTGCATAATGTGCAAATTAATTATGTTTTTAATAATCTCAGCGGATCAGCCAATTTGCTGCACATGTGCTGAAAGCAGCAAACCATTTGAAAACAAACGGCGGGAAGAGCAGTGGTGCCAACTTTGCCCTTTTGTTGTCATATTTAGCGACTTTCAGACCCCTCTAGCACTTGTATTAGAAAAAAGCGCCTAGTGTCAAATCTAGCGACCGAACTCTGCTCTCCAGAGCAAGTACAACAGATAAGCAGATCATGGCCTGTCTACAGTGAAAAGAAGGACTGTGTTTATTTCATTTGCTGTTGCCTTTTTAGAAACATTGCTCGGAGCAATCAGCTAAGTTAGAATGGGCTTAGTGATTGGGAAATCTTTGATTCATTTTTACACAGCATGAAAGTCAGCTGAGCACATTGCCGATATGAAAAGAAAAAGTTACAAAAGAAAACATAGAGGAAAACAGCAAGAAAAGGGAAAAAAGAGGGGAAAGTGGTAGATCAAATAATGTATGTCTGATCTATAAAAAAATTCTGTATCTGTATAATGGGTCTGTTTTATGTGCCTGTCTTTGCCTAGGGCCCAAAATTTCCTAAACATAAAAGATGGATGGATGGAGTTAAATGGAGGAAACCCTGTCAGAAACTGCAGAAGACTTGAAACTGAATAAAGGTTCAACGTCAAGCAGGCCAACCACCCTGAACACGCAGACATACAATGGACAGTTAGATCAGATCAGATTCATGGGTTAGAATGGCCTAGTTAAAGTCCCGGCCCAACTCCAGTTTGTCTTTGTGGTTTACTCAGGAAGGAGAAGATGAGGAAGTAAAAACAGTTTTGTTTACTCTGGATGTAAAACAATCCCCATTGTTTTACATCCAGGTTGGAGTCCAATTAAATCTTTTAGTTTGACTTTTGATGGAAGACTCCAGATAAAACTTCCTTCTTGTCAAAGGGTCAGGCCCTTTGACCATTATAAAGGTTAGCAAATGATTGACAAAATCAGGAAACAAACTATTTTATTTCCAGAAAGACTCCAGGAATGCTTTAATTAAACAGGTGTGGCAACACAGCAGAACAATGCATCTCACCCAAGCACACAATTATAATTCTAACCATACAGACCATTTGTTTATTCAGATTTATAATGTGCAGCTGAAAATAGAGCACGCAGTCTTCTAAATCTGACTGTAGCTCTACACTATTAGATGTTGCACTAGAGTGAATTAATATAACTGAATAATGTTGAGTAGAAATAACATTGAAATTCTATGAACCAGATTTGAACCTAACCTGCTTTAGAAGCTATTAATTGTGTGATACAATAATGATAACTTTGTTCTGCATATCAAATTTCAGTACTTCTTATTCACATCCTACAGAAGAAAAGTCAAGAAATAACAAATTAAAATATGAATATTTATATAGTGTTATGAAATCTTGTTCCGTCCATCAATTTACCCTAATATGTCACCAGTCTATCAAAGAGCAACAATGAGATATACGACCAGAGTAAATATAAAACATAATTTATATAATGTTGTAAAATATTGGTCCTTCCTTCCATCCATCCATCCATCCATCTATCCATCCATCCATC